GGCAACCCCAGCACGGCCTGCCAGTCTGGTAGCATTTGGAAGCCAGCAATGAGAATTCAGGAAAACAGAAAAATGTTAAATTAGGGGGAAAGTACTGGAGAAAAGGAATCTGCAAAAGAACACAATATTTTCATAACAATGAATACCACATAAAGTTAAGAGTTATAAAACCATTATTTCGTTAACCTGATTTCAACAAATGTCTTTATACTGATACTTTTTCTAGTGTTATTTACAAAAATTATTAAACCATTTGTTTCCACACAATCATTAGTTCCACTTTTTTTTTTTTTTTTGGAGACGGAATCTCTCTCTGTCGCTCAGGCTGGAGTGCACTGGCACGAACTCAGTTCACTGTAACCTCTGCCTCCCAGGTTCAAGCGATTCTCCTGCCTCAGCCTCCCGAGTAGCTGGGATTACAGGCGCCTGCCACCACGCCCGGCTAATCCGGCTAATTTTTGTGTTTTAGTAGAGACGGGGTTTCACCACGTTAGCCAGGCTGGTCTTGAACTCCTGACCTCAGGTGATCCGCCTGCCTCGGCCTTCTGACGTGCTGGGATTACAGGCGTGAGCCACCGCACCCAGCCTACTTATACTTTTAGTTTTGTCTGAGAAAATATATATTATACACGTTTGGTTTTTTTTAATTTTGTATAAAGTTATGGGGCACAATTGTAATTTTGTTACATGGATAGTTTGCTGCATGGAGTGAAGTCAGGGCTTTCTGAATATCCATCACTGGAATAATACGTATTGCACCCATTAGTAATTTTGCATCTTGCTCCCCCAACCCTTCCAAGTCTCCATCTTTTCACACGCTACGTCCAAGTGTACACATTATTTAGCTCCCACTTATGAGAATGTGGGGTGTTTGTCTTTCTGTGTCTCAGTTGTTTCATTTAAGGTAATGGCCTCCAGTTCCATCCATGTTGCTGCAATAAACATGATTTCATTTGAAAATACACATACATGTACACATAGAATTTTTAAAATTATCTTTAAAATTTTTACTTCTTTCTGGTTATTTCCTCGAGGTCATCCATGTGTCTCCATATATCATATAATCGGTACACTTCTGCAGCCCTCTGTACCCCAATCTCAATTTTTATTTTTATTTATTTATTTATTGAAACAGAGTCTCACTCTGTGTCGCTTGAGGCTGGAGTGCAGTGTCGCAATCTCGGCTCACTGCAACCTCTGCCTCCCAGGCTCAAGCAATTCTCATGCCTCAGCCTCCCGAGTATCTGTGACTACAGGCGTGCGCTACCGTGCCCGACTAATTTTTGTATTTTTAGTAGAGATGGGGTTTCACCCATGTTGGCCAGACTGGTCTCGAACTCCTGACCTCAAGTGATCCAACCAACTCAGCCTCCCAAAGTGCTGGGATTATAGTCATGAGCCACCGGCCCAACCCCACTCTAAATTTTTTAAATTATTCTTGAATAAGTAAAAGTAACATGAATCATCTTGTGCTTTTTTAAAAGTTCTTGAGTAAAATGTAATGGTTTACATTTCATTGATAAATGTATCAGTCCAATTCTGCTTTACAATGCCATCCCTTGGGAACCACAGCTTATTCTCTAAAGACTGTTGAAGATGCACATTTAGTTATAATTATTTAACATGAAAAATGCATCCATTCCAAGCCTAACCTGAGAGATACAGATAATATACACTTCTATAATTGAGCTATAAAGTACATTTATCCTTAGCATAAATTTTAAACACTAGAATCTGTAGAGAACCAAGATCACAGGTACAACTAATAAATACATATATTTTTGTAAAGTATGTAAAAATAGCATTGAAAAGAATTTAAATCAGGCAATTTGTGAGTGGAAGGAGAGACGGCAAAAGTCTTTATTAACAAAATAATCAGTTATGGGAGTTTTATTACATGCTGGCCACATTCTCAGTATGTTAAATGTACTGGTTTATTTAACACGAGAATCTCATGAGATATTAATATTTCCCCCATTTTAAAGATGAGGCTCAGAGAGATTAGAACTTGCCCAAGCTCATACGATGAGTGACCCTTTGCAGCCCAGCAATGAACCCAGTCAGTGACATTTCAGACATCATGATAAAAATGTGACTCTTAGGAAAACAAAAAACAGATAATTGTCTTCACCAGTGGTGATCCTTAAACTTGTTCCGAGCAGTTTTAGAATCTCTGGTACGATGAGAATAATCAGGCTTATCTCCATAATGTATTTGAAAGGTGAATTGTTTTTTGGAGTGGTTATAAATGAAGCTGAGAAATTGACAGTAAGCATAGGATTGGCAGAAAGCAAAATGACTATCTTACATACTGATGCATTGATGCATTGAAACATAATCTGCACGAAGAAAAATATTTCATTTTGAATAGACAAGCCTATCTGCGTCAATTGAAACTTGGCCAGGTTTCTGTTCTCCTTTGTTTTGCATTATTTTCAATTGAATGGAAAAATATTGTTACTAAATTGATTAAAATTATTACAGGAAGAATGTTTGGAAGTATAAAGTAATTTATACAGAATTTCTATGTTACATTATCTGATTGAGACAGTTAAGCGAAACAATGTCAAATTTCTTTTTTTTTTTTTTTTTTCTGAGACAGAGTCTTGCTCTGTGGCCCAGAACTGGAGTGCAGTGGCACCATCTTGGCTCACTGCAACCTCCACCTCCCGGGTTCAAGCAATTCTCCTGCCTCAGCCTCCGGAGTAGCTGGGATTATAGGCACATGCCACCACGCCTGGCTAATTTTCGTATTTTTAGTAGAGACAGTGTTTCACCATGTTGGTCAGGCTGGTCTCGAACTCCTGACCTCGAGACCCGCCCTCCTCAGCCTCCCAAAGTGCTGGGATTACAGGCGTCAGCCACCTCGCCCAGACAACAATGTTAACTTTCTTATATCTTTTTTGGGACAAAGTTTCACTCTTGTTACCCAGGCTAGAGCCACCGTGCCCTGCCACAATGTTAAATTTCAATAGCTTCAAGTGTACTCATTAATTATCCTCTATGAAAAATGTTTATTCTGAAATAATTAAAATTCAAAAATAAATTGATTCAATATGTATTTTAATTTTATTTCACAAGTTTTGTTTTGTTTTGTTTTTGAGATGGAGTCTTGCTCTGTCTCCCAGGCTGGAGTGCAATGACCTGATCTCGACTCACTTCAACCTCCGCCTCCTGGGTTCAAGGGATTCTCCTACCTCAGCCTCCTGAGTAGCTGGGATTACAGGCGTGCGCCATTACATCCGGCTAATTTGTGTATTTTTAGTAGAGACAGGGTTTCACCATGTTGGTCAGGCTAGTCTCAAACTCCTGACCTCAGGCGATCCACCTGCCTTGGACTCCCAGAGTGCTGGCATTACAGGCGTGAGTCACCGTGCCCGGCCATTTAACAAGTATTTTTATGTTAATAGTGGCAAGATTTAAAGTGTATGTATTAAAAGGATACCTACTGCCTATTATTTCATATGTATGCATTTTAAATAAATAGAAATATAGCAAGAAAAACATGTAGGAAATACTATGCTTTTAAAATCCCCTCAATACGTTGTTTATCTTACTAATGTCTTTTAAGTTTTTGGTTTTTCTTTAAAAGATGAGGTCTTTCTACGCTGCCCAGACTTGTCTCAAACTTCTGGGCTTAAGCTGGTATTACACGTGTGCACCACCATGCCCAGTGTTGCCTGTTTCTTGACTATCAGGTAGGAAGCATATGAAATAGTTTTCATTCATTCACTCAACAAGCATCGTAACTAAAATTTCCACAGGTAAGTATCTGAATTCTCACCAAATGCATACGCTGGAATGTTTTATCTGTATTTATCATCTAGTTTGACAAACACCATAGTTCTGTTGCTATACATCCCCATTAAGCTATCCTCCTTAAGGTATTCAAGTCCTGTTTCATCATTTAGGAAAATACATTTTAGAAGTACAGTATGCCATTTCATCAAGGTGTCCGTTTTCACTTTCGTTTTATTCTGATTACAAGTGCTCACTGGTTTGCAGGTTTGTCTTACGCTCTATGCCATGGGTTGGCCAACTTTTTCTCTAAAGAGTTGCAGAGTAAATATTCTATGTGTTACAGGTTATAGGATGCCTGCCTTAACTACTTAACCAAGTTGTGTCAGGAAAGCAGTCACAGAGAATACCCCAGAAATTGATGTGGCCCTGTCCCAATTTTTTGTTTCTTACTATAACAGGAGGGTCAGCCCGATCTGCGTATAATCTCATCTCTGCTTGCCTCACTGCCTATCACTCAACCCCTTAACGTTTTTGTCTTAAATGGCCTTTCTTTTGCTTGGGCATACTTTAATCCCTAGATTAGATCTGCTGTGCTTTCTTTGCCCTCTGACTGTAACTGTCTATTCGTGTGTTCAAATGTCACCTGTTCTAGAGGACTTTTCCAACCAGCTTTCTCTTGTAGCTGCATACACACCATACACTCTGTGTATTAATTAGAGAATGGTATGTCCTAATTTCCAAAGAAAAGCCCTGGTTTGGCCGGGTGCGGTGGCTTACTCCTGTAATCCCAGTACTTTGGGAGACCGAGACGGGAGGATCACGAAGTCAGCAGATCGAGACCATCCTGGCTAACACGGTGAAACCCCGTCTCTACTAAAAATACAAAAAAGCAGCCGGGCGTGGTGGCGGATGCCTGTAATCCCAGCTACTCAGGAGGCTGAGGCAGGAGAATGGCGGGAACCCGGGAGGCGGAGCCTGCAGTGAGCTGAGATCCGGCCACTGCACTCCAGCCTGGGTGACAGAGCGAGACTCCGTCTCAAAAAAAAAGAAAAGAAAAGAAAAGCCCTGGTTTGGCCGGGTGCGGTGGCTCATGCCTGTATTCCCAGCACTTTGGGAGGCCGAGGCGGGCAGATCACGAGGTTAGCAAATTGAGACCAACCTGGCCAACATGGTGAAACCCTGTCTCTACTAAAAATACAGAAATTAGCCGGGCGTGGTGGCGCTCGCCTGTAATCCCAGCTACTCAGGAGGCTGAGGTGGGAGAATTGGTTGAACCCGGGAGGCGGAGGTTGCAGTAAGCCGAGACTGCGCCACTGACCTCCAGCCTGGCAACAGAGCGAGACTGCGTCCTGGTTTACATGGAACAGACCTGGTTTATTTCTGCTACCCGTGTATCACATCTAGTAGAGTCTTTGTTACAGATACTACATTGTTTAAACAAATACTATTACTTGGCAATATATAGGCTGGACAGGGTTTGACAGAGCTCTTCTTTATACATCCTGCTCTTGACATAGTTGCGTCTAATACCATGTGAGATGGACGTTCGGTGAACAGAGTTCTCCCTGAAACAGATCATCAAATGTGAAAGACAACCATTGATAACCTGCCTCTCTTTTCCCAACTCTTTCCTTCTCCTTGAAAGTAAATGTAATCAACTTTCCTTTCAAGGACATAAGGCTGTGTGTCCTGACATAATAAATCATGTTTGGATATGAAAGCTACGGGCAATTTTTTTTTCAGGCTCAAGTGGTGTTGGGAAAAGTTTTAGAGGCTGCTGCCCCAAGCTGATTTCTTGTTATTCCCATGTCGTGCCATAAGAAGTACACAAAAGCATCAGGCCTCCAGGCGATGCTGATAATACCAAATTCTGGCTATGATGTTGAATGACAGAAAATCACATTCATTGCTGGTGGGTCAAAACTAATCATCATAAAATCCAGCATTCGAACTCCTTGATATCTACCCCAACGAGTTGAAAATTTATGCACACCAAAACTTAGATATTTAGAGCAGCCTTATTCATAACTGTCAAAACGTGGAAACGGCCAAGATGTCCTTCGGTAGGTCCTCAGAGAAATAAACTAGGTTACCTACAGACAATGGAATATTATCCAGTGCTAAACATGAATGAGCTATCAAGCCATGAAAAGATATGGAGGAGACTTAAATGCATATTAGTAAGTGAAAAAAAGCCAATCTCAAGAGCTACAGAGTGTATGATTTCAACTACGTGACATTCTAAAAAAGGCAAAGTTATGGAGACGGTACAGTGGTTGCCAGGAGTTAGGGGTGGGGTTGAGGGGATGAATAGGCAGAACACAGAGGATTTTTAGGACAATGGACCTATTCTTTAAGATACTATAATGGTGAATACATGTTATTTTACATTTCTCCAAACACATACAATGTACAGCACCAAGAGTGAATCCTAACGTAACCTGTGGGCTTTGATTGGTGACTACGTGTCCTTGTAGGCTTATAGACTGTAAGCAGTGTGGACCACTCTGGTGTGAAATGTTGATAGTGGGAAGTGTTGGGTCCATGTCGGGGCAGAAGGTCTATGGGGACTCTGTACTTTCTGCCCAATTTTGCTATGAATCTAAAATTGCTCTAATATATAATGTATTAGAAAAACTTCATTGAGCACTAAAGCAAATGCAATGCAATATTTGCTGGCTCACCAATAGATGATTGGTTATGTCCTCTAGTTTGAAGTTACTCACTTTGACAGCTTTATTGCCTTTTAAATATTTGAAGTTCACTCCTAATTAGGAACATAGAATACCACAGCGTTCATTTGCATTATTTCAGGGTAGACTGTGATTTCACTATACTTGGAGTTGTTGTGGGTAGGGATGTTGTCTCTTTGCATTCCTAAGACCTAATGTAATGTCTCATACACAGCGGGCACTGGATTAGTGATTGTTGATTGAGAGAGAAAGACTTCTTTAAAAAAGGGTTTTTGTTAAGGAGTCTGGGAATCATGGAACCATAGTGACCAACTGTTACGGACTGGATTGTATCCCCCTCCAATTCAGTTACGGTGCTGCTTCAGAAAGAAAAGAGGTGAGCTATTTTTTAAAAGCATATATCTGTTGGCTTTGAAAATGCCTATATCATCATGAATAGAATGCTGGTAAAATTATGAAAGCTGAAGACCATTCTGGTGAGGTCTCATGTGGAAATGAGATGCAGCTTATTAGAAACGGGAGGAAAAGTGATCCTTGTTATAAAGTGGCAAAGAACTTGGATGTATCATGCTCTAATGTTTTGTGAAAGGTAGAACTTGCAAGTGATATAATTATATATTTTGCTGAGGAGATTTCTAAGCAAAGTGATGAATGAGTGGCATGGTTTCTCTTTACCACTTATAGTAAAATGCAAGAGAAAAGAGATAAATTAAAATAATACTTAAACAAAAAGGAATCACAGGCCAGGTGTGGTGTGGTGCTTCACTCCTGTAATGCCAGCATTTTGGGAGGCCAAGGAGGGCAGATCACTTGAGGTCAGGAGTTCAAAACCAGCTTAGTGAAACCCTATCTCTACTAGTTTTGTAAAAATACAAAAAATAGCTAGGTGTGGTGTTATGCACCTGTAGTCCCAGCTACTCGGGAGGCTGAGGCAGGAGAATCACTTGAACCTGGGAGGAGGAGGCTGCAGTGAGCCAAGATGGTACCACTACACTCCAGCCTGGGTAAGGGAGCAAGACTCTGTCTCAAAAAAACAGAATCACAGCTTAAGTATCTGGAAAATCCTCAGCCTGTCTATATTGCAAAACGTAAGACACATGTTCAGCCAGGCACAGTGGCTCATGCCTGTCATCTCAGCACTTTGGGAAGCCGAGGCGGGTGGATCACCTGAGGTTGGGAGTTCAAGACCAGCCTGACCAACATGGAGAAACCCCATCTCTCTACTAAAAATACAAAATTAGCTGGGCGTGGTGGCGTATACCTGTAACCCCAGCTACTCGGGAGGCTGAGGCAGGATAATCGCTTGAACCTGGGAGGCGGAGGTTGCAGTGAGCAGAGACTGAGCCATTGCACTCCAGCCTGGGCAACAAGAGTGAAACTCCATCTCAAAAAAGAAAGAAAGAAAGAGAGAGAGAGAGAGGGAGGGAGGGAGGGAGGGAGGGAGGGAGGGAGGGAGGAAGGAAACAAAAAGAAAAGAAAGGAAAAGAAAAAAAGAAAAGAAAAGAAAACATGTTCTGAACAGAAAACAAAAAGTGAGGCAGAACAGCCATTTGATGGGGAGACGATGGGTGTGACTCATGGATTAATCAACCATCTCAGGAAAAGCCAAGAATGGAGATGGATTATATCCACAGAGATAGAGCTAGTTTGAACTAAAGAGGAATTAAAAAGTGGGATGGCATAAAGGCAGACTGTCAAACTTCTTGGATTCTACAGGACAGGACAGTAAAACTGTTAGGCTGCAAACATTTTTTTGAATGCTGTTATCATTCAAGAAAAGAGAACGACCATGAAGGTGACTCAGTGGTCATCAGGGCTGCACCCTCCCCAGAGGCCCAGGGAGGACATCAGGACTCTCCCTTCCCAACTTGCAAAGGAAGGGCCATGGCTTTGGTTTCCTAGGCCAGGCTGCTGCTGCATAGTATCTTGGTTTTTTCTAGTGAGATTATGATTTTTCAAAGTAGATATTTTATTTATCCTGCTTGAGATGCATTGGTCTTATCAAATCTTTGGGTTGATATTTTATTGATTCTGAAAAATCAAGCACTTCTGAACTATTTTTCTTCAAATGTTACTTTTGTGTCACTTTCTCAACTCTCCCAGTGACATCAATTAAATGCATGTTAGGCTATCTCAATGTATTCCCAAAGTTTCTATCTTCTCTTCTGTGTTTTCATTTTTAGGCTGCTTTCTGTATATTTTCTTATGACCTTTCTTCAGGTCTGTTAATTTTTTCCTTCATTGAAATAAGATCTGAAATCACTCCCGTTCAATGATTGAAAAAGGAACAATTTCAGTTTTAAAGTTTTCAATTGTAAAAATTATACTCTATTCATTTTCAAGCTTTTATGTGACTTTCTTCTATTTTTTTAGGTAACCAGTTTCCTGATCAAATTTTACTATCTTGGCTTTTATTTCTTTTTTCTTTTTTTAAATTTAAGGCCTGGGATGCCTGTGCTGAACGTGCAGGTTTGTTACACAGGTATACATGTGCCGTAGTGGTTTGCTGCCTGTCAACTCATCATCTAGGTTTTAAACCCTGCGTGCATTAGGTATTTGTCCTAAAGCTCTCCCTCTCCTTGCCCTCTACCACCCTGACAAGCCCGGTGTGTGATGTTCCCCTCCCTGTGTCCATGTGGCTTTTATTTCTTAGAACAAAATCATATTTGCTTAATCATGTAAACCTCAAGATCTAAAATGTGAACACTTTTTGAGAATATTTCTGTCGTTAATTATTTCTCTTGATTTTTCCTTATAGTCTCAAGCCTTGTGTGTCTTTTTATCTTTATGTATATCTTTATTTATATCTGGAAACTGAATCTGATAACTATATTCCTAGGCCTTTGAATCACACAAATGAAAATGACTTAGGTCCCTGAAAATGTGATTATCAGTTTGCTTTTTGAGCTATTAGAAGAATAATAAATTATGTAACCACATTATATGTGAAAGAGAAAATACCAGTTCTCATAAAATATAGGACTTTTACTTAATATTTTAATAATAAACTCATCCTTAAATTTTGATACTTTTATGCTAGTGCTAGTGCTATTATTGTTTAGAGTTGACATATAAAAATAATAGATATTCAGAACTGTTAAGAATTTAAAATATTTTATTCAGTGTCAATAATTATATAACTTTTTGGTTTGAAAAGTAATCTTTATAGAAATATAAGTAAAGCTTGAATAACATCTGTATAGAAATGTATTTGTACTAAGGTATTTTGCATTAGATATTGAAGAATACTTTGCTAACACATTTCTGATGGACTCTGCACACTGGAGTTCAGGAAGATCAATTTCTTTTGGTTATAGGTCGGGTCACTTTGACCTTGTCCCCATCACAAGAATGGGCTTCCTTAATTTTGAAGATGTTCTACACACATCACATAGGTCAGGATTTATCAATATAATAATTGCACTAATTTAAGTCGTAAGTAAAAGAAAATCCAGCTTAAATTTGCCAACCAATAGACGGATATGACTTACTAACAAAAGTCAAAGTATAGGTATCAGGACTAGCGTATTTCAGTGTGTTAATAAAATCATTAATACCTGGTTTGGTTCTAGTAAGTCACACATGTTTTCTTGTTTTCAGATCATTTCCCTTGCAAAGTTATCAAAGTGCTTCCCAAAAGGCATTAGGTATTTGCTTTCTAGTCTACACACCATGAAAGGGAAAAAACATCCGTTCCTGAAGCTCTCTCAAAACATCAACAATGGAAAGACGTGCCCATGTTCTCCCCTCGGGCCACTCTGGGGGCTGGAAATGCTGCAGCAGGGAGCAGGCCCCAGGCTGCACCTGTCCTGTCCTCAAAATGCTGTGTGCAAAAGTGAACAGTAAATCGTTTCAAAGACGCAGGGAAGAAAAACCAAAACATCAGCAGCATCTTCTTTCCCATAATCTTCATGCACCTCCTGGTCCGGATGAGTTCAGGTTCCCATCTCTAAGCACAGGGATTGATTATGACGGCATTTATAGGACTGAGCGCCCCCACACTCTGTGATCCAGCACGGAATTATGATTTACATCACCATAGGAAGAGTACAGAGGCTTAAACAGAAAAAAAAAAGCAAATTTTCAAGTACATGCGCAATGAGTTTGGGGAAGGTATTAAAAATGTCTACTATATCAGAGATACGATCCAAATGACAAAGCGTTGCCAATCAAAACATTTATGCTTAAATAGTTTTCAGAAGATGTGTGCTAGGCAAAACCATCGTCCTCTGATTCAAGTTTCACTAAGTTGCTGTCATGGAGTGAATAGGAAATACTTGTACATGGAAATGGATTTTTTTCTGAGTTTTAAAAAGAGAAGTTTTCCAGTTCTTTGACATTATCAAATATATTAACCACGAATAAACATTACCTTAATAAAAAGTGTTATTTTCACTTTTTCAAAAAAAAAATCCATACACAGACCCAACCACCACAGTGACGAAACCACGAAAGAAAAGGTCCACGACAAAAGCACTGATATGTGGCGTAGAAGATCCAGAATCACACACAGACTCTAAGCCTGACTCACACATTGACTGTTGTGACGTTAGTGCAAAACTTACAATTATCTGTATATACAAAACTTAGTGATATGTATATACGACACTTATAATTATATGTATATATGAGCCATTTTACCTGGTTTTAGGTCTCATAAGAATAACAAATAATTTATATTTCAGGAGCTCCACAATGAATTAATATGTAGACTGATTTACTGATTCATTTGTTTCTATTTTATTGTTAAATTGATTTAATTTTACCACAAATGAACATACCATTTTTACCCTCTTAGCCATTTTTAAGTATACCGTTCAGTATTTTAGTATATTCATGTTGTTATAAATCCAATCTCCACAACTTTTCATTTCTTGCAAAAATGAAACTGCGTACCCATTAAACAGCTCCCAACTCCCCCTGCTCCACCCGCTAGGAACCCTCTAGTATGATTCCACTTTCTGTTTCTAGGAGTTTGCCCACTCGAGATACTACATATAAATAAAATTATACAGTGTTTGCCCTTTGTAAATGGCTTATTTAGCATAATGTAGTCAGGGTTCATCCATGCTGTAGCATACATGAGAATTCCTTCCATTTTGGGGATGAATAATATTCTACGGTGTGCCAAAACGTGCATCACAGTTTGCTTATACAATCATTCATTGATGGACACTTAGGTTGCTTCTACTGTCTGGCTATTGTGAACAATGCTGCTTTGAACATGAGTGTAGAACTCTCTCTTTTAGGCCCTATTTTCAGGTTTACTCGGTATGTATCCAGAAGTGGAATTGCTGGATTATACAGTAATTCTGCTTTTAAGTGTTGAGGAACTGACACACTGTTTTGCATAACATCTGCACACCTTAAATCTCTTCCAACAGTGTAGAGGGGTTTCAATTTCTCCACGGTCTAGACAACATTTGTTATTTTCTTTTTGAAAATATAGTAACCATGGCTACTATTAGCCATGGTTATTATTTATTTTATTCACCAGATTATCTTCTTCAGTGTTTGAGTTTTACAAGAATATCAATTCCATTTTTCTACTATTATCCTGTTATAAATATTTCATATAAATATCTCATCAAATAAGATAATTTATTGTTACTGTTTTTATTTCAATGTTTTATAGTGAAGGCCACTGAAGATACATAAATGATATTTTGCTTTGACTCCTTTGTGAATGGCTATAAATAAAATTTTTTCAATAACTCACTATGTGCCAATCACCCCACGATGTTCAAAGTAGGCTTTAATATTGCCATGTTAAACTTCTCTACTTGTGATTTTTATATCTAACCCAGTTGGTAGCAAGACAGTTTTGTTTCTTCATTGAAATGGCTCTGGCTTTATGTAGACCATTCATTCACTTTCCATGCCACTTCCCTGAAATATTTGTGGTTCATTTTTTCAACTCAAGTAAACATGTTTTTTTCCCAATACTCTGCTACATTCCTGATGTCATCCACACTATGCAAACAGTCAAAACGTAACTCTGGTCCCTTCTAGGAGAAGCTCATAATATTTCATTCAAAATAAATTATGAAAACTTGACCAAAACATGATACACTATTCATTTGTCTTTTAATTAGGTAAATGCTTATTTATTATCTTTCTCAAATGTTTCACCTTCTTCTATAATATTTAGCATTTTACTTTTTACCTTTTTAATTTCTAGATTATATTCATTTCTACAAGACCACATTTTTATTTCATTGCCTATGCATTTGGCATTCCTATCTGGCAAGCTTCCTCTGTTATTTACTGGTATACATGTAATTGCTTCTTTTTCATTTATATTTTACTGTCTGTGACATCTTTATAATTAGTTGATAATTTCTGTCATGCGTCATTAAGATAACTCATTGCCATAAATGTCCTATTTTTAAAATTCTTCTCAGCTCCTTTTCTTATTTTTCTTTTAATTCTTCATGTATTCTATTTTCTGATTCTTGTTTCTTAGGCTTCGAAAATACCTTTGTATGTCCCTCTGGATGACTTTAGTGTCACAATTATTCTTTAAATTTTATATAAGTTTTACATACATTTAGTATTTTCTGGATAATGATATTGTATTTGAAGCTTGAGTATAAATACAAAAGATCTTTTTTTCCCCAAGACATTTAATAAAAAGAAATAATGTTAAGGTAGTTAGAGCAGATTCGTAGATGAAATGCATGACTTTCCCACCCACGAATAATGGTTCCTCTTTCCCTTCGCCACAAAGAACATGCCGTATGTAAAGCACAGGATTTTCTTTCCTAGCTGCACATGAAGATTTCACAAGCCTTATGCCTGTGGGAGTTAATTTTAATGTATTAACTTGGGTGGGTCCAGTGCCCAGATACTTGGTCAAACATTATTCTAGATTTTTCTGTGAATGTGTTTTTTGGATGAAATTAACATTTACATTGGAAGACTCTGTGTAAAGCAGGTGGCCTCCATTCTGTGGGCATGCCTCATCCAATCCGCTGAAAGTTTTGACAGAATGAAGACTGACTTCTCCCAAGCAGGAAGGGATTGGGCCAGCAGACTGCTTTGGACGCAAACAGCAACTCTTTCCAGGGTCTTCGGCCTCCCGGCCTACCCTGCCGTCTTTTGGACTTTTAAGGGAGTGGCTCGCATGATTGTGTGCGTCTATACCTATATCCAATCTGTATCATCTGCATCACTCAGTTCTCCAGAGAACCCTGACATATGCCCTTAAAGGTCACTTTATATCAAGCGTTTATTTTTGCCAGACATGACTGGGTTGCACTAATATTTGCCTTCCTTTTCTTAAAATTATACCTTCATTTTTTGTTGACTATTACCTCCACGACTCATCTTTGTAGTACGAGCGTGTTATTTGTTGTCAAGATGAAAACTACACACACACACAATTTAATAAACATGAAAGGAACGGTGGTGACCAGAATGCAGATGGATGCGAGAAGGAAGGGCTGTGAGCTGCCACCTCATTGATCCACAATGGCACCATTTTCCTTTCACCTTAACTTTTAGAAACTTTTTTTCCACCTTGCAATTGCTTATGCAATAAACTTCACTTTCACTTAGACTCCATAACTTATCCCAGAAACCTCAATGCCTCTAAGCAGCAATACATAGACTTGACAAAGAGACGTGTTACCTTGTTCAAACAACCCGACGATTCGGTGAAAGCACATAACGACCATCTTCACGTTACATAGTTAACCCGAATTGCCAATTAAATCGACGTGTTCTCATCTGATGTAGTTATTGGCCTAGCTTTTTCTCCGTATTCTTGTACTGGAGACATTTAATATGGTCATCATAAGTGAAGGTAAGTTATTTCAAATAAACACACTAATTGGATCAGGTTCAATTCTATTTTGCTTTCTATATTTCAACTGTGCATGTATACCTGCACTATTAATTTGGTTTTAATTATAATTTTGATTATTAATTTGAATCTAAACTTATCTCCCATCCCTGATACTTACCTGGTTGGAGCTAGCACAATCTTTGACTGGATTATAGTAGTTACCTCCAAATGACCTTACTGTGTTTGCTTTTGCCTCCCATTAACGCTTGCACTCAGTCCAGCAGCCAGAATGTTCCTTTAAAGATACACGTCAAATCATATTACTCCTCTGCTCACAACCTTCCAACAGCTCTTAATCATACTCCAGCTAAAAACTGTAATCCTTAAACTGGCCTGCAAAGTCCATTATGATTCAGTCCTCAGTACCTTTCCAACTATTTCTCCTGTTGCTTTTCCACTTTTCTTTCTCCGCTGAAGTGATGCTGGCCTCCTTGAAGTTTCCTTCTCAGCGCTTTTCAGCTATAGGAGTTTTGTGCCCTGTCCTCGTTCACTGTAACAGGCTCTTGCAGATATTTCCACAACTCACTCCTCATATCATTTATATCTTCTCTCGAATGTTAACTTCGCAGTGAAGTCTTCCTTCCATATCCTACTTAAAATTGTACCAGGTTCCCCAACCCAGCAGGAGCTTCTGTCTCCTCTGTGATTTGTTTCCCTCCAAAGCACTTATCGCCTTCGAATAAATTATACAACTTATTTTACTTTTTCTCTTTGTCTCTTTTTATGGCTTGTTTGGTACATTTCTTATTGTATCTCTTCCACCAAATACATTTGGAATAAAACATTTTTACTAATTTGTCTCTTCTCCATAATTTCAGCAAAAGCAACAGACATGCATTCAGATTAGGAACACAATAAATACAACGAAGTTGAATAAATGAAATGGAGGGGAGTGAAGTATTCCAGATGGAAGAGGCAGTACGTGGCCAAAAGGAAACAGACCACGCACGTTGGAGAAAAAGGATGGCCAGACTTGCAGAAACCTGGAATTGGTGATTGGCTTTAGAAGTGGACAGACAAAAAAGGAGGCATAGAAAGTGCCAACGTTTGGCTACACAGTGAAGAAAGACCTAAAATAATAAAAACGTTGGCATCACCTGTAGACTCAAACCCTGTGAGTGAAGGACCTGAGCAATGAAGGATGGGTTGAGCCTGTGACTAGCCTTCTTCAGCATATGTAAAATGATGTCTGCTTTTCTTATTTGTTATTTCACTGACTTTGTATACACAGTAGTTTCCCCATATCCATGGAGGATACATCCCAAGACCCCCAGAGGATGCCTGAAACCACAGATAATAACAAATCCTATGTATCCTATGATTTTTCCTGTACATCCATACCTATCATAAAGTGAGTTTATACATTAGGCACAGTAAGAGACTAAAAACAGTAACTCATAATACAATAGAACAATTATAACAATACAACCTAATGAAAGTTATTTGAATGTGATCTATCTCAAAGTATCCTATCGTAGTGTACCATGGGTAACTGAAACAATAGCAAACACAATTGCAGAGAAAGGGGGATACT